AAAATCAATAAAATTTAAGATATGTTTATGATAAAACTGGCAAATGATCTATGAACACTATAATTAAAAGAAACATCCTTAATCTGTTAAAGGCTATTTATGAAATACCTACACTTACTCCACATTTAATGAAGAAGAATTAAAATTCTTACCCCTAAGGTTGAAAAAAACACAATAATTTCTATCATAAGCACACCTTTAAATACACTACTAGAAACTCTAGGCCATCTAAAAATGCAAGGCAAAATAAAATGTACACATATTAAAAAGTAAGAAGAAAATCATCATTATTTGCAGAAGACATGATTGTATGGTGTAGAAAATTCAAAAGTCTACAATCTATTTTACCTAAGAAGTGATGTTAGCAAGGTTTCTTGGTATTTCTGTATATTGTATTTATATATGTTAGTACCCAACAGAAAACACAAATTCCAAAACTAAATCATTTACAAAGTATGAAAAGGTAAATACCTTGCATTTAATTCAATTGAATTTTGTGTAACACATTAACACCAATGACTTGGTAATATAGATAAGACCAATTAAAGAAGGCCAAATCAGTGGAAACATATCATGTTAGAGGAGTCAATATTTTTTTTTTATTTCAGCATATTATGGGGGTACAGATGTTTAGGTTATGTATGTTGCCCTTGCCTCCCCACTCCCTCCCAAGTCCCAGTTTCAAGTGTGCCCATCCCTTGGATGGTGCGCATTGCAGGAGTCAATATTTTTTTTTTATTTCAGCATATTATGGGGGTACAGATGTTTAGGTTACGTATGTTGCCCTTGCCCCCTCCATCCCCCCCTAAGTCCGAGTTTCAAATAGGAGTCAACATTTTTAACATATGAATTCACTGCAAATTGAAATAGACATATGAAGTAGATCCAATACCAGTCAAATTATGTATGTGTGTGTGAGTGTGTGTGTTTGTGTGTGAGAACATTGACAGACCCTTTCTGAAATTTATATGAAAATGCAAGTGGCCAAGAATAGCCATGCAACAGAAAATCTTGAAGAAAAAAGCTGGAAGACTTATACTACAGTAATCAAGTTTACTACACAGGTACTCTAATTTTAAAAATGTGGGCTTAATACTAATAAGAAGAAAAAGAATAAATGAACAGTACACGAGAAATAGCTCAGAAAGAGAATGACACATACAAGATCACCTGAATTTTGACAAAGAAAGCAATGTACAAAAGATACAAAGATGGTCTGTGTAATAAATGGTACATAATCATTTGGAAAAAAATTGATCTAAAAATGAAACTTGAAAATACGAATTTTGTGCTTTTGGTTTCTAGTCTGGCATGGAAGGAGCTTAGAAGTGTTCAATCCATTCTAACAAGGCGTAAAAACCTGAACAAACTTAAAAATCAACAACTCCCCTTAGATCCATCAGAGAAGTAAGGTCACAGAGAAAATTACTGATCCCCCCCTCAATTTGGAGAGACAGGCAGATACAAAGAATCACAATTTACCAGAGCAGAAACCTCCATGGGAACCAATACCAGGGTAGGAAACCCAACCTGTAACTGATAAGTTGCTAGGGGCTCAATGTGGACAAGTTTGTGAGATAAAAACTCTGAGAATCTGGTGTGGTATTTTGATAGTGGGGAGGCTCATATATGTGAGAAGAGGTGGTGTATGGGAAATATCTGGATCTTTGCTGAATTTTTCTGTGAGCCTAAAATGCCTCTAAAAAATGAAGTCAGTTAAAAAAATACAAAACAAAACTCCAAGGGACCGTCATAGGGGGCCGCCACACTTTTGTGAGTTTTACTTTCAGGAGTTCTCCAAGGTCCTCACAGTGAATACTGGAGAAAAAAAATCTCTATTTAATTGTGGCAGGAAGGTAAAAGGAATCTTTTCAATGTACACTAGAGCATTCTGTTCTTAGCAAGGTCTGCCCCCAGGAGAAACTATTTCATCAAAGTCTAATATACCTGGGGGAAGGGAAATATTCAACCCCAGCCAGCTGTAGCCTTTTGTGTGAGGGAAGGGACATACACAGCTTCAGCCCCCCTCTAGCCATCCTGTCCCACCTAAGGCAGGGTGAACTGAGAACAACTTGTGAAATTCACAGTACAGGAATACAGTTCACTAAAAGACTAAGACCTAATCATAGGATTATAGAATCTTTCCCCTGCTCCCATACCTTAACACTACATTAATAAAGTCCTATTCAGCATAATTTATTTTACCCAGTATATCATGTCACCTTTTCAACAAAAAATTACAAAGAGTACTTGAAGCCAACAAGCACAATTTGCAGAGACTAAACAAGCATCAGAACCAGCATAAGAAGTGGCAGGAAAGTTGGAGTTATTAGACTAGGAATTTTAAAACTTATGATTAACATGCTAAGGGCCTTTATGGAAAAAGGCCCTTTTGCATGTAGAAAACATGCACAAACAGATGGGTAACGTAGGTAGAGAGAGGACATTCTAAGAATCAAAAAAATATTAGAGATCAGAACATAGTAACCTATGATGAGCTTATTAGTAGACTTGCCACAGCTGAAAAAAAGAAGCTCTGACCTCAAGGATATGAATATAGAAACTCCCAAAAGGATATAGAAACTCCCAAAACTGTAAAGCAAAGAAAAAAAAAAAAAGACTGAAAAAACAAACACCCAGAACACAATAGTCAAGAACTGTGGGACAATTACAAAATATGTAACCTATATGTAATGGGAATATCAGAATGAGAAGAAAGAGATAAAAGAACAGAACAATAATTGAAAAAAAGACTGAATATTTCCCCAGATTAATATTATACACCAAACCATATATCTAGGAAGTTCAGAAAATACCAAGATGGATAAATGCCAAAAATCCTAAACTTGCCATATCATATTCAAACTTTAGAAAATCGAAGATAAAAAATATTGAAAGAAGTTGGAGGAAAAAGTCACTTTACCTATAAAAGAGCAAAGATAAAAGTTGCACCCATCTTCTTCTCAGAAACCATGAAAACAAAGGACAGTAGAGTGAACTATTTAATTGCTCAGAGAAAAACACCAACAACCTAGAATTCTATACCCTGTAAAATTATTCTTCAAAAATGAAGAAGAAATAAAGGCCTTTTAAGACAAATAAAAATGGAGAGAATATTTTGCAAGTAGATCTGCCTTGTAAGAAATGTTAAAAGATGTAATTCAGAAATAAGGACAATTACATAAGCCAGAAATCCAGATCTACATAAAGAAAGGAAGAGCATGAGAGAGTGAACAAGCAAAAGTAAAATAACAGGCTTTGTTTTTCTTACTCTTAACTTGTCTAAGAGATAACAATTTGTTCAAAATAATAGCAACAATATATTCCAATAGCATATGCTTATGTTTATATGTGCTTATCTATAAGTGAAATGAATGACAGAAATGATGCAAAGGACACTAAGAAGGAATTAGGAATATTTTATTATTATAAAGTACTCACACTACTCATGAAGTGGCATATTGTTATTTGTAAATGGACTTGGTAAACTCTAGGGAAACCACTAAAAAAGGGGGAAAAAGAAGTATAATTGATATACTAAAAAGGAGAGTAAATGGAACTGTATAAAACACTCAATTAAAACCACAGAGAAAGAAAAAATTCTGGAAGATACAAATAGAAACAAAAACCAAGGACAACAAATAGCAATAGTCACAAAAATGGTGGCTATTAATTCAAATATGTCAATAATTACTTAAATGTCAATGATCCAAATGCATGAATTAATTGACAGAGATTGTCAGAATGGGTCAAGAAACAAGAACCAACTATATGTGGTCTACAAAAAACCTACTTTAAATATAAAAACACAGAAAAGACTAAAAATAAATTGATAGAGAAAGATATGCAATGCTGTCTTATGAAAAGAAAGTGAAAGTAGCTTTATTAATTTCAGACAGAGCAGATTCAGAGCATGAAAATATGTCAGGGACAAGGAATACCAATCTACAATAATAAAGGGGTCAATACCCCAAGAAGACATATCTGTAATGTCTGGGAACCTAAAAATGGAGCATCAAAATATGTGAGGAAAAAGCTAACGAAAGTGCTAGGAGAAATAGATAAATCCATTATCATAGCTGGAGATTTCAAAAGCTCTGCATTACAAATGGACAGATCTAGAAGGCAGAAAATCAGTAAGAACACAGTTGGACTCAACAACACCATTAATGAACTAGATGTAATTGACATCTATAGACTACTTCACGTAACAACAGCAGAGTACTCATTCTTCTCAAAATCAAATGGAACGTTCGTATGGAACATTCACATAGATAGACCACATTCTAGGTCATAAAACACACTTTAACAAATATAAAAGAATATCACACAATGTCTGCTCTCAGAGTACAATGTTATTAAACTAAAATTGAATAACACAAAAATTCCAAAATACTTGGAGATTAAAAAACACACTTCTAAATAGCCATATAACCCATAAGAAATCTCAATAGAAATTTAAACTAAATGAAAATGAAACATGACTTATGAAAATTTGTACAATTTAGTAAAAGCAGTGCTTAGAGAAAAAAATTATAGCATTGGATGAATAAATTAAAAAGATCTAAAATCAATCAT